GGGGGGGGGAGCTGGGCGGGGCACCCCGGCTGCCGGCCCCGCCCTCAGTCCTCCGCCCTCCGCCCTCCGCCCTCCGGCTCTGCCGGCGCAGGCCCCACCGCCATGTCGGGCCCGTTCGAGCTCTCGGTGCAGGACCTCAATGACCTGCTGTCGGACGGCAGCGGCTGCTACAGCCTCCCCAGCCAGCCGTGCAACGAGGTCGCGCCGCGCATCTACGTGGGCAACGCGTGAGTCGTGGGCGGGCGGGCGTGCGGGCGCAGGGTCCCCCTGGTCGCGGGGTGCGCAGAGGACTGGGGAGCCTGGAGCTCATTCTGAGCTGGGGTCGGGGTCCCGGGGCCCCCACGGCCATGTAACAGGTGGCCCGGTGTCGCGGGCCAGTGTCCGGCCCGCGCGTCATGTGACAGCTGCCTGGCTGGGCTCCGCAGTGAGCTCACCCCAAGGTCTGCCCTCGTTGCCATGGCAACACGCAGATGTCCCGGGTCGGGCGTGGTCCCTTCCGGCCGGACTGAGAATCCAGAGACCCGGAAGTGGGATGGAGAGTCGGGCCCCCTCTAGATCGGTTGGCTGGGTGGGATAAATCAGTGAGGACTCCCATAAAGGACCCCGCTGTCACCTGGAAAATGCTGCACCCGTCCCACAGCAGGAAGTGCCTTTATTATCACTCAGGAGCTCTTTTCGAGTTGAGTTCCCTACTTTTCTGTGATTCAAACTATTAGTAAGAATTTCCCAGCGGCAGGCGAGGCCCAGGCCTGCCCTTCCCGAGGCGCCCAGCTGCTGGCGGAGAGAGCCCGGGTTAGGGCGCCCAGCACCAAGCTCAGGCTGGCTTGGCCTGGGGGCCAGCGTCAGAGTCCAGCACCAGAGCCACAGGCGCCCTCCTGGGCTGACTCAAGAGTGGGTGGGTGGGCCGTGAGGCGGGGCTGGGGTCCCTGCAGCGAGGGGATGGGCCTCATCCAGCCACCGCGCTGCGCAGCACGTCAGCTCCCAGCCACGCTGGAGAGAGTCGTGCGGAGTGTGGGCGGGTGAGCTGGCGCCCGGGAAGGCACAGCGGGGCGGCCCGTCTGCGTTCTCTCCGCTGTGTCCTCGTGGGGAGAGCAGCAGCCGAAGGGCAACCTCGCCTCCCATCAGCGCCCTGCGCAGCGGCGCTGGGCCTGTCCAGTGCACTGACCCGTAGTGCCTCCAAAGTGGGAGCCGAAGTTGGGAACCGCCAGTGGCAGCCGAGTGGCCGGTGTGGTGGAGCATGCCTGCTTCCCAGCTGCTTGGAAGGCTGAGGCAGGAGGATCCGAGTTCAGGCAGCTGAGACCGTGTCTCAAAATTAAATAGAAAGGATTGTGGATGCAGCTCAGGAGTGAGGCACATGCGAGGGCCTGGGTTCACTCCCAGGGCTGAAAATAGAAAGAAAGAAAAAAAGAGGGAAAGAAGGAAAGAAAAAAGTTCCTTGTCCTCTGAGTGGATCTGAGCGTGACTTGCCGCAGCTTGTCACCTGGGGATGTTGCCGTCTGTCCCTTCCTCCCCAGGCCACTGAGGTGACAGGCAGATGCAGCAGGAGGTGCTGTTGCAGAAAGGACAAACCACTCTGGGGTTCTTTATTGCTGGAAAGGAAATAAAGGGGCACTGTAGCCATTCAGATGAGGTATTTGGGGGCTGCCTGCTCCCCAAGTGCTAGCTCCCCGGGAAGGGCTTCAGCGGCCTGGCTAGTGGGTCCCTCGAGGGGACAGGGAGGGGCTGCCTGGCTCGTGACAACTTCGTTCACCCCTGTGAGCGCGGCACCATGCAGATGAGGGGGACAGGCCTGGAGCACACGCGGTTCCTCGGGCTGGCAGCACCCGGCCGTGCACGTTGCTGCAGGGCAGTCGGGCTTTGCCAGTGGGGGCTCACTGAGCAATGGCCTCTGCTGCCCTCCCTCCGTCCTGACAGAGAGGGAAAGCAAGGCACAGGCAGCTTAGGGCAACCATGAGGAGATGAATGCCTCTGAGGGTGGAAGGAGAGAGGGGACCGCGAGGTGCGAAGCTGCCGGCCTATTTAGGGACTGGACGCTGCCGGTACCTGGATATGGCCGGAGGGAGGGAGGCGGGGAGGGAGGTCACAGGACGCCAAGCCCGGGATGCGGGGCCACCTGGCTGTGCCGTGCCGTGCCGAGCACCGTTCCCCGTCTCAGTCAGACCCGCCGTGCCTCCCGCCAGGTCTGTGGCTCAGGACATCACCAAGCTGAAGAAGCTGGGCATCACCCACGTCCTGAACGCCGCCGAGGGCCGGTCCTTCATGCACGTCAACACCAATGCCAGCTTCTACCAGGGCTCGGGCATCACCTACCTGGGCATCAAGGCCAACGACACGCAGGAGTTCAATCTCAGCGCCTACTTCGAGAGGGCCTCGGACTTCATCGAGCAGGCCTTGGTGCAGAAGAACGGTGAGGGCCCTGCCTGGCCAGGACCCCGGGAACCCCGGGGACCAGTGGGAGGTGGGTGGTTTCAGCGGGTGCCCAGGAGACCAGGTCACGGCGGGACCCACGGGGAGTTCTTCCAAGGCAGTTATACCTATGACTCGGCCCTGAGGTGATGGAGCCAGGGGGCTCGGCAGTGGCCCCTGCCAGATTCTCCCAACCGGGGGACATGGGACACAGTGAGGCCGTGGTCCGGAGACTGCGTGCAGCTGGCGACAGGCTGGGGACCCAGGAGCTGCAGGCACCAGGAGAGCAGGCCAGGTCCTCGTCCGTGCCCCCTGGTCTCTCCACTATGCTGTCACCCTGTCCTCCTCTGAGGACAAGGTGACCCGGAGGCAGGAGTGTCTGTCTGCTATGGCTGCCCCCGGGGTCCGGGTGCCCTGTCCAGCTGAGTCAGTGTGTGGTCCTGACCTGAGTGTGTGCTGTCGGGCCGTGGGGACCCTGGCGTCACTTCCTGTTTCAGGGCCACCCGGAAGGGACCCCTCCTGCCCTCCGCCTGGTCTCCTGCCGTCCTCGGCAGATGCCCCCCGTGCTCTGGCTGGTGCTGGGTCCGGTGTCCCTTGCTCCATGCTGCCTGCCTGGGCCCGGGTCCCCGTCTATAACCCTGGATACACTGTGCCCTGTCCTTGGCACACTGCTGGGGGCCACTGGACGGGGACACCGAGTCCCATGGGTCCACCATGGGCAGGAGATGGAGTGGCAGTACTCAGCAGAAAGGCACGGGACCAAGGCTGTCACTGTCCGAGAGCTGGCAGGGATGGCAGAGGTGCCGAGGCAGTGGGCACAGCAGGCTCTGGGTCCGCTTTGAGCTGGGGCCAGCAGCGTCCGCTCCACATCCCGCCTGGGTGGAGGCACCAGGAGCCATGTGCCCGCAGCCAGCCCTGAGCCCAGCGCAGCTGAGGCCCCAGCTTCTCTGAATGCCAGGTCTGCAGGTGCCTGTTGGTTATCGGTCAGTAGCCCCGTGTGGGCACCCGAATCCTCGCAGGACGCCCAGTGCCTCCTGGACAGCCAGTGAGCAGCCCCCTGGGCAGAGGGCCGGTTGTGTCCCACGGCTAGAGCAGGGTGGCACGGGTGGCACCGTGGTGCCCAAAACGGCACAAGAATGAAGACTTGGGCGTCTTCCACTTAATTTCTGACTGCTGTTGACCTCGAGTGACGGCGGGAGGGGTGCTGCAGGGCGGGGGGCTGCTGCCTGACCCATCTTACACCACACGTGACTGTGGTCTTGGGCTGGCTGGTGAGGCCGGCAGCGTGGTTCCAGGAAACTTGTTCCTGGGGTCCCCAGGTTGGGCCAGGCCCTGGAGGTCCACGTTGGTGCAGCAGCAGGGTGCCCACAGCCCACAGCCCACCGGACGGTGTGGACAGCGCTGGGCACTGCAGGCGGCCACGTTGCCCGTCTCAGCCCCAAGCCAGCTTAGACCCAGGTCACGTGGCTCAGAGAGCCGCAGCAACCTGACGCTGACCAAGGAAATAGCTGAAAAGGACCCCGGGCTGGGTAGGAGTGTCCTGGGGAGCCAGGAGAGGGAACAAGACCCGCAGAGGTGCAGCAGGGGAGGGCGCAGAGCTGTGGGCGCCCTGGGGAGCAGACTGCAGGGCGGGGTGACGGGCATGTCATTCTCCAGAGAGTCTCAGCGTCAAGGCGGAGGGCAGCTCCCCTTGTGGAGAGGTCGTTAAGGCCAAGAGGGTGGACACGCTGCCCCCCGCTGCCCCCCGCGGTCCTCCTGTCCTCTGCACCTCTCCTGCCGCCCCTCCCGAGCGCCCACGGAGCCGCCGTGGTCATGGACCCGCGTGTGTGCCCAGCTCCGTCTCCCAGTGCGCCGGCCGCGGCGCTTCCTCCCTCGCGACGAGGACTGGGGTTCATCCGCATGGGCCGTGGCACTCTGCCCGGGCCGTTCCCTCTTCCCACAATAATGTGCCCGGTGCAGCTGGGCCTGCGCTTCCTCTGGCTCCTGGGGGCGGTGCGTGATGGGTCATAGCCTGCACTCGGGAGCGGCCCGGTCACCAGCAGACACAGGCAGTGCCTGGACGCCACCCGGGCCCCTCCACAGCTGCGCCCGCACCGGGTGCACAGTCCCCGGGGCCACCGCCCCACCCCAGAGCCAGGGGGTGTTGCGTGGTGTCGCGCTCTGTGTCCGGCCAGATGGCATCGTTGTCACCTGATTGCACTGTGGCCCAGCCCTCGGGTCCCCGTCACGGCCGCTTCCTTAATGGCCGTGAGCTGCGACCCCAGACCCCAGTGGTGCGGCGTCAGCTCCGTCCTTCAGCCGCCGGGCACTGCTGTCAGCCTCCGCCTCCTGGGACTGTTGGACAGCGGCTGTGGGGCCCCTCACGTCTCCCGTCTGTCCCACAGGCCGGGTGCTGGTGCACTGCCGCGAGGGGTACAGCCGCTCCCCGACCCTGGTCATCGCCTACCTCATGCTGCGGCAGAACCTGGACGTGAAGTCGGCGCTGAGCACCGTGCGGCAGCACCGTGAGATTGGCCCCAACGACGGCTTCCTGGCCCAGCTGTGCCAGCTCAACGACAGGCTCCGCCGGGAGGGGAGGTGGAAGCTGTAGGGCCCCACCGCCCCACGCCCGTTAGGAAACGCAGTGCCCCTGCCCCGCGTCACCAGGCACCTGCCCATGTGTCCCAACAGCCCCGGGCCGCACCCCCGGGGACACAGAAGCTTTGCCCGGTGTCCTGCTCCCAGCTGTCCCATCTGGTCGCTTCTGTCCCCTGAGGTGGGGCCCCCAGCTCCGAACCCAGTAAGGACAATGGCTGCACACGGCCCAGCTGTCCTCCCCGGGCCGCCACGGCCATCCACACCCTGCCTCCGTGCCGGGGGTCGTCCTGGTGGGAGCCCCCACCTCCTGATGAAGGCCCTGGGGCTCTGCCGCACCTCAGGTGTCAGTGCCAGGCGCTGTCCTGTCCTCCTTGTCCTGCGGCCGAGCACTTGCCAGGTGCTGCTGTGGGTGTGAGCTTCGTTTCTAGCAAGCAGGGGTAGAGGTCCAGCCGGTTTGCAGCCCCAGCACTGGGAGCCTCAAGGGCTTTGTCTGGATCAGCGTGGGCCACAAGCCCATGTGTGCTGCGCTGGTCCCTGCTGCTATTCCTGGAGCCGGCGGAGGAGCCGGCCAAGCTCAGCGCGTGTGGGTGTGGGGCTCCTGTTCTGGGTGTCGTGACTCTGTGTCAGCGTCCTCACTGTCCGGGCCCGGCACAAGGTGTTTCCCCTGAGTGCCAGAGCTGCCCCGCTGTGCCCTGTGCCCGGGGCCTCCTCTCTGTGGAGGGGCATCAGGACTTGTGTGGCATCGTCAGAATTCAGCTTTGCACCTGGGCTCCAGCCAAGGCTGGAAGGTGCTGTGGGCGCGCGGGAGTGCGGGGCACCTCCACAGCAGCTACTGTCTTCCCAGGTCACCCACTGAGGGCAGCGGCCGTCCGCGTGGCTGTGCTCCCTGCTCCACGGTTTGCAGCCCCCCCCCGCACGCATCATGGGGTCCACATCATGGGGTCCGGGTGATGAGAGCTGTGACTCCAGGCTGCTGGCTCGCAGCTCTCCGGCGCGGGCTCCCTTCTTTCTAGGCTGCTCCTCCCCAGGGGGGGGGGGTCGGGTCCACCTCCCAAGCCCTCGGCCCAGCACAAGAAGGAGGTGCAAGGTGGGGTCCCCATGGAGCACCCCAAGTCTGTGCTTCCTGCCATGCTCCTGGAAGTGGCTCAGGCAGGGTCACCTCGCAGGGCAGCCAGCTGCTGGGGGCCACAGCTCGGCCTGGCTCTTTGGCACCTTGCAAGGCCTCTCTCGGGGACACGCGGAAGGCCACAGGGAGAATTCCTGCCTTCCTCTGGGGCTCCGTCACCCCAGGAGCCCCACACTTGGTCCTGAGGTTTAGCTCACGGCTCTCCGAGGGAGGCGCAGTGTGTGTTGAGAGCCAGCGCCCAGCGTCGCCGGAGCTGTGGCCGAAGGAGAGCCAGGCTGGGTTTTGTCGGGACCGTGAAGCAGGGGCACTTTCCGGGGCTCTTTCCCTGCCACCACTGTAAACATGGGGACCCCTCAAGTCCCTCCGTTGACTTGGAGCTCCGAGGTTGGAGAGGGCGCGCACAGCGAAGTGGCCAGCAGGGGGCGCTGCGTCCTCGTGGTGGCCGAGGTCCGGACCCTCTGGGGCAGGCCGGGGCTGCTGGCTTCGCTGCGCCCCGCGAGCCTCCTGCCCGCAGGTGGGGGGCTTTGCCGGTGAGAGTGACTTTCCGGACAGAGGATGAGGTGGGCTGGGAGCTGGGGGCGGCTCCGTGGAGAGCGCTTGCCTGACACCCTCGAGGCCCCGGGCTTCGTCCCCACTGCCGCCAACAAGGAAAAAGAAGGGCAAGTCTGCCGTCTGCCGTCTGCCGAGTCCCCAGTGTAAAAGCACTAAAACCGCAGCCTAAATAAACGTCTCGCCTGACGAAGGCGCAGGCCTGCCCTCCTGACCGCCCGTCCCTTCGCGCTTTAACGCTTGGCCTCTGTTTGCCTTTGCAGCTTTCAAAGGGAATCATCGCCCGGAGGTGAGCAGAGGACAGTTCCGCTTCGGCGGTGTCCGGCCGGCCGGCCGGCCAGGGCGTCCTCGCGTCCCCAGCGCGCCCGAGACCGGGCCAGGCCCCTGCTCCTGAGGAAGGGGCTGGGCTGGACGCGGCTGGGCGCCGGGGTCCGGGCGACTTCGTCCCTGGCAGCCCCCGCAGCACAGGGTTCACTTCCACACGAAACCTTTCTTGAATTTTTCCAGTTTTTCTTTGTGGCTCCACGTTTACGCTCTGCAGTGCGCACGCTCCTCGTCGGGAACCGGTGCAGTTGTGCAGTGCATTTTAGCTCTTCCCCTTCCTCCATCTCTTGGCACGTTTCCCTCTTGCAAAAAAATCTATCTTCCTGTTTTCTATTGCCTCTCTTATTTTGCTTCTTATTCATACTTTGGGTTTCTCATATAAGGGAGACCACGGAATGTCCACGCTTGCGTGTCTGATGTATCTCACTTAACAGTATGGTCGCAAGGTGCATCTGTTTTCCTGCAAAGGACTCAAGTTTATCCTTCTTCATGGCAGCATAGTTCTCCATTGCTCTACACAAAATCTTAAAGCAGAAAACTAATATATAAACTGATGCTTAACTATAATTTTAAAAGCATTTTAATTTAAAAAGTAAAGCTATATACAGTAGAGTAATAAATTCAAGCAGCACAGAAAGCTGTAGTGATATGTGAGGTCTTGTTACTCTAGCCTTTTGTTCCTCTCCCCACGGGAAGCCATACTGAGCGTCACATCCTCCTGGGAGAGCCACACACATGTGTGCGTATGTGTGTGTGCATGTGTATATGGACCTATCTGTCTCCCTGTAAAGAGCAGACGTCCTGTGCTTTGCCTAACAGCACACTTTAGTTTGCGTTGCTTGTAGTTCTTGGGTCCTCCTGGCATCCATCGGATGGATGGCTGCGGGTTTCTGTACACTCATTTGAGAGGTCCTGGCTGCGTGGATGTTTCAGATGAGATTTCGGGGCGGTGCTGCAGGCCTCTCGGCCCGATGAAGGGCCCAGGACGAAGCACTTGGTCACACTCACAGCCGCAGGAGGAGCGGCCCTGCCTGCCGTGTCGCTGAATGGGTGTGGATGTGTCCCAGCCTAATTTTCAAAAGCCAGGCTCTGGGCCGGGGATTTAGCTCAGTGGTTTCACCGCCTGCTGCGCAAGTGCAAGGACCCGAGTTCGATCCCTGGTACCAAAAAAAAAAAAGCCAGGCTCTGAGGTGTGGCCTGCTGGACAAGTGGCTGTTTGTAAGAAATTTGTCTTAGTCACTTTTCTCATTGCTGGGACAAAATACCTGACAGCCAAAGTTAAAGGGGAAAAGGATTATTTAGCTCACAGTGTGTAGAGGTTTCAGTCCAGTCAGCGGCTCCAGGGTAGGGTGGGTGGCAGGGGGCATCAAAGAGGAGCAACAGTGCATGGTGGGCAGAAGGCAGCGGGCAGTGAAGAGGCGAAGCAGCTACAGCAGCAGATGCGCCGTTGTCTCCATCCAGGCTCCCGCCCTTTGGGTGGTGCCACCCACACCCAGGTGCCCTTCCCACTGTCACACCCAGAACTGTGCCAGCCAACCTGTGGACTAATTTAGTTCCACGCACCCTTAGTCCCAGCATCACACACTCTAGCTCCAGCCAGCTCTGAAAAGCGCCCCGTGACCACATGAGGCTTTGGGGGACTCTCAACACAGCCGTAACAAGGTTCAGATATACAGAGGGCCCATTGCAAAGTCTGCCCTGAAGCAAGTGAGCCTGGAGGGGACGCTACATATGTGCAACTTCTTAATTTAATTAAAGTTATTTGTTTTGCAGGGCTAGGCAAGTGCTGTACCACTGAGCTATACCCCTGGCCCAGGCAACACTGAAAGGATAAGTGGTGTCCAGCCCACTAACAGTAGATGTATAGCATTCTGGAAGGCTGAGGCAGGAGGGTTGCATGTTCAAGTCCAGTCCAGACAACTTAGTGAGAAGTTGTCTCAAAACTTAGAAAGGGCTGGGGATGTAGCTCAGTATGAAGGCCCTGGTTCAATCCCCAGTAACATGAAAAAAAATTCCATAACATTTGATTAATGCATATTT